ATATATATATATATATATAATTTTCTAATACAAATATAGGGTATACAAAAAAGCTAGTGAGTTTGTCCGAACATACGAACCCCGCCTAGCTCCACCTCTATTATTAACAAACAATAAATAGAATCACAATTTTACTTAATAAATTATATATTTTGGAAAATATATTATGGAATGACAATAGTTAATAATAATGATAAATTATAAACTAAAATTAATAAATCTAGACAAATAAAAATAAATATATACTTTTAATATTGTTGACAAGTAAAAATTAATAGAAGGAATAAATGACTATGTAAATCTAAAATCGAAGGAATTACATATTAAGTATTGGACAACTATCAAATGTCTAAATATTTTTATTATATTTTTTTTAAAAAGCCTAAATATGAAAATTCAAAACTGCCTTTGATTTTGAATCTATTGACAATAAACATGCATGTTGATACCAAGAACTTAACCCACGCTACTATATAAGTAGAAGGAATTTGGATACCTTATTAATTGCATACTTAAGAAGTGTTTGAAGCTAAAGATGGGCTATGCAGTTGTGCTCTTACTTGTCTTTCTCTGTCATGAAGTTTCTTCATCCATATTTGTTAAATTAGGTCTTAGACCTAACTCACACCCCAAAAGCTAGCTCAAAGGAAGGAGGATTGTTCAAGCCTTATAAAGAGTCCACCCATCTCATTAACCATCGATGTGAGACTTTTGTCATTCTTTAACACCCCACCTCACGCCCAGTGCTTAGCATCTGGTGCGTGGACAATTTTGATTTTGGGGGCCCCAACATCGGGTGAGACGGGCCCTGCTCTAATACCATGTTAAATTAGGTTTTAGACCTAACTCACACCCCAAAAGCTAGCTCAAAGGAAGGAGGATTGTTCAAGCCTTATAAAGAGTCCACCCATCTCATTAACCACCGATGTGGGACTTTTGTCATTCTTTAACAATATTACCTCATCTCTCTCACAAACATCATCAAACCATTTCCCTTCTAAAATTCAAGCAGTCCTTTACTATAGATCCCTCACTCTTTTCTTTTTGTCAGAAGACGAAAACGAGTTCATGGAACATGAGTAGAGATTGTTGCTCATGGGATGGAGTCATATGCGATGACATGACTGGACATGTCATTGAGCTTGACCTCGGCTGCAGCGGTCTTGTTGGGACCATTCATTCGAATAGCAGACACTTTCAACTCTCTCATTTTCAAAGGCTTGATCTTTCTAATAGTGACTTCTTAGGTTCTCATATCTCCCCTGAATTCGGCAAGTTTTTGAGTTTGACACATCTTAATCTTACTGAGTCCTATTTCTCATATCAAATTCCTTCTGAAATCTCTCATCTTTCCAACTTACAATCTCTTCACCTCTCCCAATCATTTGAAACTAATCTAAAACTCACGGCCCATGATTTTAAATTGCTCCTTCAGAATTTGACCCAATTAAGAGACCTTCATCTTACTTTGATAAACATCTCTTCCACCATTCCTCTAAATTTCTCTTCTCATTTAACAACTCTGAGGCTGGCACTTACAAGATTGTATGGGATAATACCTGAGATATGGTAGAAATACATATTACGATGATTCTATTACAGTTGCAACCAAGGGATTTGATCGTGAAATTGTGAGAATCTTGTATTTGTACACTGTTATCGATCTTTCAAGTAATAAATTTGGAGGGCGAATTCCAAGTATCATGGGGGATCTCATTGCAGTTCACATATTGAATTTATCTCAGAATGGATTGCTAGGTCATATACCGCCATCATTCAAAGATTTATCTTCAGCTGAATCATTGGACCTATCAGTAAACCAACTTTCGGGAGAGATACCACAACAACTGATTTCTCTTACGTCTCTTTCATTCTTAAATCTCTCATAATCATCTCCAAGGATGAATCCCTCAAGGACCTCAATTTCACACTCTCATAGACAAGTTATAAGTTTTGATTTTAGAACTTGAG